CTGTGAGAGATTTTTTTTCATATCCTATTTTAAATTTATCTTGATATTTTATGTTCTTCCTGAATGTACTGCTGCCAACTGTAAGATGTTTGTATCAGAATTATTATTGAACATCATAATTATTTGTGACTTTTATTCTGCTTACAATGGAAAGTAAGGGCTTTGTGAGTTTTCTGTGATAGAAGGTACAGTATATCTTCATATGCTTGTGTATAATTCAAGTTCACAAACTATAATTGAGAAAATGTGAGACTCCTGTATTTTTTATATGAAAAAAAACACATTATATTTATGACAGTTAGAGGATTGTTTGGCAGTAATACTGTGGAGGCAGTGTTCTCCTAACATTCTGGGTTGGATATCAGATAATTAGTGAGTTTTAAGGCCAAAAGGCGCAGGTAGCCACAGTGGCCTATAACCATAACTGATCCTGGGGCTGATAGAGAGATGGGGCTTTTGTCAGTGTTCCCCCTTTCGAGGAAGTTCTTATAAAATATTTCTTGTAAAAGTAATATATTTTCTGTACTATGGAATTATGCATATCCCAAGTGGAGTTTAAACATCAGGCCTTTTGATCTCCTTCTGTAGAGAGATTCTGAATTGTTCATCAGCTTTTTAATTTGAATGACTACGTTCTAAGACAAGAGGATGATCAAATTCTTGACTTGGGTGGTGAGTGGTGTTAGTATATAATCCAAACATAAAAGCTGTGCACTGTATATGTTCTGTCATATACTCCAAAAAAGGAAAGGAAGAAAAAACAATTTGAAAAATATGGTTGTATTAGATATTAATAAAAACATATACTTGAAACAAATATTTAGGAGCGAGCTTATCATTTCCAATGCATTACACACCACATCAAGATATGTTAGTCTAGGAATTTAAGGAAGTTGGCTGGAAGCTATAGATACCCATCTATTAATATTTCCACATTATTCCCTTTATTTGTCTGTCTGTAAGCCTTTTCTCCTTTTACCTGCCCAACAGACTATAGAACTATATTATGCAAAGGCATTTCTTTGGAGTTGGGGGAAAAAAATCTAGTTTTCTTTTGCTTCAGATTTTCATGTCTATAATCATAAAAATGTTAGCAGAAAGAGATGTCACATAGTCCACCCCCCTGCCTTGAGATGGGATAAAATATACCTAGAAGTGTGGTTCAGGTTCCTGTAAAGCAGAGTTTTATTCTCTATGGTACTTTAGTCACAACATACATTTCAGTGTGTTCATTGTATTTGGGACTTGGAGGTGGCTGTGGTCCTCATGTCTTTCTCCTTGGGCACAAATAAAGTAGAGACAAGTAAATGACCTTTCTGGGTAATGCCTATTCAATCTGGTCATATTCTTCAGACTTCTGTCTCTCAAGCTTTTAAGAAAGAGATTGATTGATTGTTTCTTACTTGACAGCTTACTGTTAAATCACACCTGTTTCTCTCATACTGCCACAAGAATGGAGTTGATGTTACAGACTCCTTTCAAGCCATAGTCTTGAACAGATTTGTTGATGAAAGGATCTTCAGTTAAGGTATTGGCATGGATGTGACACTTGGTTTTCAGATTTTCTGGGCTTCATCCAAGAAACATTTATTGGTCCATTAGGTAATATGTGTATTTAAAAAGCCTGGAAACATCTGACTGAAATGTGCCTCTCTGAGGAGAAAATAGTTCTCTTCAGCTCAGTGACAAGAGCTTATGCAAGTCTAGTAATTCATTCTTCTAGATGATGCTATGGCTTCTGAAATTAGAATGTAAACCTTCAATATGCAAATGATGGGATCACATGGAAAGTAAGGGCTGGTGTGTTAACAGGACTCTTAATCTAGAGGATCTGCCATTACCTTTTACTGTGGATTATTTGGTTTCTGTTACCAACATTAGGAGTATTTTCTCTACCGAAATTAATTTAGTGGCCATTTCAGCCTCTTGACTTAGAATCTTGGGTATTTTTTCTTGTCACATGATTCCATCCACTTGTCTCCATGGCTCAACTGCAGCACAAATGCTCTCAACCGACACAAAAAGAATATAGCAAGAAGCTTGATTAGAGCTAATTTAGCTATAGGATTTAGGAATTTCTTCATACAAACTGCAATACTATATAAGGCATGACAGCAGCAAATGTTTCTGCTAATGAGACTATTGAGGTATGCTGACTTCTTCAGGTTCTTTTATCTCTTTCCTTTCAAGTGAGTTGTCATTTTGTCTCATAGGAAATTTCTTTGTCTTGATCAAATTAATTTCTCCTTTATATTCTGTACATGAAAATCCCCTTCTCCTTTTTAAAAAGCACTTTCTTCATGCCAATATAATTTCTAGCAAAGGGTCAAGAACAGAGATGTTTGACTTTCATTCTGTTTCTAGCTAAAATGGTTCCCAGAGTTTGTATCTGCTAGTTATCTTCCTTTGGTCCTATTTGATCTGTCACAGACTAGATGTAAGTGACTGCATGCCAAATTTACTATTTCTAAATTTATATTTGGAATCACTGTCCCCTAAGCAATCTGTTACTTTTTAAAATTTTGTACTTTGCTCCAATGCAAGTGGGGTGGTGGGGTGTAGGGGTGTTTTGGGTTTTTTAGGGGGGGAGGGCGGAGAGACAGGTAAATATCTCAAGCTAGTATTTAGAAAATCCTTAACAGGATGAGGGATATCTGTGGAATAGGGCTTCCTCAGCAAGAAAAGAGAAGCTGTTTCTAGAAAAGCCCTGGAAATAAGGCGATATGTTCAGGCTGTGAAGTTCATGAGGAGGGGATGTCAATAGTAGCTGGGTCAGGAGCCCCCTCTGCCATGAGTTGAGAGAAGAGATTTGTAGTAAGCTGTTGGACTCTCCCAGCTACTATCGAAAAGCATCCCCCCCACCCCAAAACAAACCAACAAAACTGCCTATGTTGGTGATGGGGGGGAAAAAACAACAACCCACCAGTACAGGGATGATGCCATCCAAAATAACTATTGTGGAAGTGAGTCAGGCACCCAAGTGCTAGTGGCTGTTGTGAGGCTGGGGAATACATTGATGAACAGTGATTAACAAAGTAATATCTAATATTTACATCGGGGAGGGCAAACGTTTTGGCCCGAGGGCCACATCTGGGTATGGAAATTGTATGGCGGGTCATGAATGCTCACAAAATTGGGGGTTGGGGTGCAGGGGGCATAAGGGCTCTGGGGTGGGGCTGGGGATGAGGGGTTGGGGGTGCAGGAGGGTGCTCTGGGCTGGGACCAAGGTGTTCAGAGGGCAGGAGGGGGATCAGGGCTGGGGTTGGGCATGGTGCAGACCATGGGGGGTGCTGATCTCAAGCAGCTCCCAGAAGCAGTGGCATGTCCCCCCTCCGGCTCCTACACGGAGGCGCAGCCAGGCAGCTCTGTGCGCTGCCTGTCCACAGGTGCCACTCCCACAGCTCCCATTGGCAGGGAACCTCGGCATAGGAGCCAGAGGGGGGACATGCCGCTGCTTCTGGGAGCCGCATGGAACGGGGCAAGCCCCGAACCTGGCTCTCCGGTGGGAGCACGAGGGCCGGATGCATAGTCTCTAACACAGAGATTAGAACAGTTGTGTTCTCTTCTCCCCCCATCCTGTAAGTAGGGGAGAGTACACATGGCTTCCAGAGCACTGCATGAGTGTAAAGGTGTCACCAAGCTGTTGTCTAGGCGTGCAAGTACCAGAATACATAAAGAGTCTACACATGAACCAGTATTTGAAAACTAAGTGTAAAACTGGAGCATGACAAATGTGGTTTGAAGACAAATGTCACTTTAAGAACACCAAAGTGGCAGAGGCAGCTTGGTTTAGAGGGTAGAGCAATGGCTGGGGAATCAGGAGACCAGGCTTCTATTGCTGGCTCTACCATTGAACTGCTAGGTGATGCTGGGTAAATCATTTCATCTCTATGTCCTCCCCCCTTTTTCTGTGTTAACTCTTCAGAGCAGGATCTTTCTCACATTCATTGTGTGTTTGTTCTGTACAATCCCTAGTATAATGGGATGTCAGTCTCTGTTGGTGTCTTTAGGCACTACCATCATGCAAACAGTGGTGGGGAGGGAAACATTTTAGAGACATGATTTTCAAATTAATGTCCCTTTAAGAATTCTCTCTTTTTATTTGGTTATGTTTAAAGTCACCTCTTTAATCTGAGGAATCCAATGGATAAACTGACCTCTGGACAGTATTTATTGAAAAGGATGATAATTTCTTAAGCACCCAAGGAAGCCTGAGCGTCTATTATCACATACAATTTGTCAGTGACAAAGTTCAGGCTTTGTGTAGTTGTAGAATCAGAAATAAAAACAGTTTGTCTGCCTTCCACAGACCTGTTGTTCAGTTTCTCCATTATGTTTCAGTGAAATCTACATTCTTCCATCTACTTTAACTTGAGTTTTTATTTCAGAATAAGGATCAGACAGGATGCAATGGACAGAACTGATAGCAGTAACTGGCGTTGTATCACAAGCATCTCCCTGCCAGTCATCTCCTTTCCTTTATGTATAAAGGCTGATGATGTGGGAATACTGTCTAACAGAAAATGAATCACTCTTACTTTGTAGCATTTCTTTCTTCCACATCAGCCTATGGGGACAGCTATACTACCATTTGCATCCCCAGTACTAAGCTGTGTCATTCTGAATCTTGGTCTCCCATTCTATGAAAGTGAAAGCATACTGTTTGCAGGCGTAGTTCAGTGGGCCTGGACTGGTTCCTAGCCCTTACCTATGTAGTGAAGGTTAACGATATCATTTGGCTTTTATTTGTGAAATACTGAAAAATAAAATAAACAATGTAGATAAAACATCACTAGGTAAAAGCATTGCATTGTAGTAGTTTCCGATTTTTAAAAGCCCTAATCCAATTCCCATTGACTTTAAATGTAAATGCTATAAAAAAGTGTGCTACCATTCTTGCTATGCCAGTCCCAGAGCATCATAAGCATGGACATGATCAGAGATTTTCTATTTTTAGCATGCCCCACTTAATACATGGAGAACTTGATAATTCCTTGGTGTATTGTGAGGTTTTAAAATATTTTATTAAGCATAGATAATAATGCAAGAACCCATATAATAAAACAACTTTAGAAGAAAAAGCTAAGTTAAAATGAATTACTATAAATATTGCACTTATTCTTATTTTACATCTGCACATAACTCATTCCTAAAAAAATCCTTCTGAGACAAGTATAAATTAACAGCTTCAAAGGAGTCAGAATTTGGTATGCTTCAGATCAGATGGCTATGCTGCAAATCTTGCAGTTTAAAATTAGGGATCTATTCTCCTCTATATATTTATGTAATTGACAGTGCCAGTTACATGGTTATATGTAAGGGACAGTAGACTGACCAGATCTTTTTGGTTATGGTCAATTTTATCTTCCTGATTTTTTACTGTATGGAAATTGTTCCTCACACAGCGATGACAGAACGCAAGTACAGGATTCACATTTTAACATCGTTTGTTTTTCAAGGTGTTCAGAATCTTTTGGTTCTTAGTCTTGAAACTCATGATAAAGTTGCTGGGCAGGACTTTACCTCTGCCATCTTCTTCTAGCTGGCCCATGATGATGTAGTTTAGACCTACAGAAAGGAAGGTGACATAAGACAAATCTCTTTCTAAACATAACCTGGAAAGAATAGTTCTACTCTTGTGGGCTCTATTTACACAGGTAGTGCTGCATACATTGCATAAAAGGTGCACCGCCCACCTTCTGTTAAAAAGTAAGTTTTGGCCACCTTATATCAAATTTAAGTCCTAACTCAGCTAATTCGATTCTTACCTAGAGAAGAATGCGTCTCATCCAGTTTAAATTTGTCTAATAAGCTCATATACATTGACAGATATGATTTTAAAAGCCAGTTGTCACAAGTATCCTCCAGTCCCAGGGCCGCAGCGGAGGTCCAGGTGCTGGGGCTTCCCCTGTGCTTCTGCGGGGGACCAAGGTTGGGGCACTGGGGCTTCTCCCTTCCCCACCCACACGGCGCTTTAGCCAGAGAACGGGGTTGGGCATAGAGGCTTCCCCTGCAGCCCCACAGCTTCTACCAAGGACAGGTGTGGGGTGCTTGGGGTTCCCCCATGCAGGGGCTTCTGAGGGGGTCGGAGGCTGCTGGGGGCTTCCCCTCTCCCACAGCTTCTGCCAGGGATGGGATTGGAGGGCACTGGGGGGGATGGATTTCCCTGCCCATCCAGTGTTGCTGCCACGGAGTGGGGTTGGGGCATGGGGGCTTTCCCTTCCCCGGCGGCCGGGGCTCTGGGCTTCCACCTCTGGCGCCGGATTTTTTCTGGGGCCTCCCCAGTTGGTGGGGGTCCCTGGGCATGGGCCCTGTGGCTAATCTGCCACTGTGTCTGTTTGCTCAATCAAGGACATTGTTATATCTCCCAGATATCCAGATTCCAGGCAGCAAAAGAACGCAAAAATTAATTTCTGACTAGGATTCCTTCTTCGGTGCTGGCCATTTTGGATACTTGTTGGAAATACCAGTGGCAGACTGAGTGTTTTGCTTTATACTCTGGTTAAATTTTCTGATTTTTCCCTGTTCTGGTTCCATTTTTGGTTTCTTTGTTGCTTTTTACTACAGCTTACTCAGGAGGCAGGGTTGAGGTCTGTTCTCAATTTCTTGTTACTATGAAACCTTGTCCAAGCATTTCTTATAATGATACACTTGCCAACTTGATTACATTTTATTGGCTGTTGCCTTGGTTGACATACTTGATACAGAATTTTGTTTGGTATGGCTGTAGTGATGTTACTTGATATCGAGTGGGTTTATTACTATTAGACTGCCTGTAAGATAGTTGAGGTAGGGAGGTATTAGGTAAATTAGTACAAAACAGCTATGGAGGAGGAGAGGTCATCGTGCTTTCAAATGTGCTCTTGGTTGTCGTATTGAGTACTCTTAGGTTTAACCTGTTTGCATTTTCCCTATCTAAATAACTGTATGTGAAAACAGGCTCCCAAATACTGAAATCCAGTTAAGCTTTATTTAGGAACACCAAAACAAGTTCCTGTTGATTTTATTAAAATCATATAATGATACTGAACCACTGCATCAATGAAGTTGTAAGAATTGTTTCACCTACAATATCTATTGGATTTAAAGTCTATACCTAGGTTTTACACTCAAGTAGATGTTTATCTATGAAGTCTGTCATTTGGATCAAGTGATTCTGAAAACAACTGAAAATGCATTATACCATTAGATAGTTTTTTCTTGAAATTAGTAATTCTAATACATTAGCTGACTAATTAAAATTGTTAGAAGAGCTATGAAAATGGAAGCCATGGTGAGCAAAGTTTTACAGAAACCTAAAGCAGTTATTTGTCTCATTTACTTACCTCTCCTGATGAGAGGGCACTGCTTACAAACAACAATGATCTTGGCACTCATATTCTTGCCTGCTTGCTGGATTGCTAAATTTCCTTCCTTATATACATTTATGATTGATATTGTTGCATGTAAGCTGCTGCCCCGCGTGACTGCTGTGATAACAGTTCCCGTTATTACTAGAAGAAAGAATATATTAGTTTTCAATATCATGTTTATTCTTATAGTAGGTTAAAAAAATTGTCAGTCTTGATGGATGCCCCTTTACCTCTTGCTTATTTCTAAAGGGTAAGAAGGTAACAGAAATACATTATCAGCCACCAAAATGAGGGCTGCAACGTATTTGCAAAATATTGAGGTCTGTCAAAAATTGAACTGTTTCCAGAAAACACCAACAACTTGGAAATCCAGTTCTAAGTTTTGATACTTTAAAAAAATAACTAACATCATAGAGTTTAAGAAGGGACCCACCACCATATCATCTAGTCTGACTTCCTGTGTATCACAGGAGGTCAGACTTCATGAACCCTTATTTTTTCTTTCTGATTTTTAAAATAAAATGAGTGTAAGAATTTCCAACTAATTGTCTTACACTGGGCTCCTGCATCATCCAGATCTCTTTTTTGAGAAGGAAGAGGCACCACTAAGCTCACATGCCCAATAAAAAATATTTGACCTGATTTTTCAGAGATGCTGAACGCCCACAGATCCCATTGATGTCAACAGAACTTGTGGGTATGTCGGATCTCTGAAAAACAGAAAGTCAAACCTGTTTGTTTTCAGACATATTTTAGTATATTTATAGTAAGAAGAACCTCCTACCTGCTGTTTGAATTCTGAGACTGCTAGGCTGCACAAAACACCTACACCTTTCTTTAGAAGGTGAACTGCAAAGCAAGAAAAATGTGCCCTTTTTATTTACTATTTAAGATACATAAAGACAACCTCTAAAGTTTTGAATACATTCTTTTGGATGATTTTTCTCCTTTCTTCTCAATAGAAATATCAGGTCTTGTCATCCCTGTTTTTGCTAGAGAGCTCTTTGGAGCACTGGAGAAATGGAGTGGGATAGTGACATGACAATAGGCTGAAAGCAGAACTGCAGTTTTCCTCAGTGTCAAAAGGCAATAGTGGATTTTAGGGCCTGACTCCGATCTCACACTGGTTTTATATTTATGGAACTCCACTGACTTTAGTAAAACACAGACTGCCACTTAAATTTAAGTCTATATAATGTCACTATCCTAACTCTTGTTTTCTAATCCTCTGAAGAGCCCTCAGCAAGAAAAAGACATGACCTAATATTAATAATATAAAGAAACAAGCAGAAGCAAACTTTAGGCCATAATTATGAAAGGAACAATAAACGGTACAACTATTTTTCTCCTTTGCAGTTCACCTTCGAATGAGATCAAATAGATCTTGAATTATCTAATACATGCTGACTGAACAGTTTAAACATTGGTGTAACCAACAGTTCAGATCAAACATTTGTGAAATTATGTATTCTTTTAATTTAGAACTTCTTGCAGTTATATGAGGTGCAAGTCTCATCACAATAGCACTATCGATATTACATTAATGGAGACTAAGAAAACACACTTCTAAAGATCAGCTACCAAATATTACAGGTATACAAAACATATAAAAAGAAATTGCTCTTATTTTCCAACAGGTCAAAGCAAGCAAAATTAAAACCTTCTGCATTAATTCAAAACCTAGATCACATACACAAACATTTTAGTAATCTTACTCTTATTTTAAAGAGGAACAAACTTCAAGGCACCAGAAGCTGGGTGAAGTATTAAAAGCTGTTCACTTGCCCTACGGGATAGAAGAAAAGTGCCTTGCATTGTGTCACTCAATGGCCAAAAAAACCTTTGACCCAGATAATGGGCTGTGATCAAGTTGTTGCACAGCTCAATAAGGAGAGCAAACACCATGGCTTAAGGCCATTTTCAGGTCCCTCTGATCATGAGCCAATCTGCATTGGGGGCAAATTAGAGAAACCTGAAGACTTCTCTAATTTGCACCAGCAGCCACCTCTCTATGCCGGGAGACAGGAAGGGAAGTGGCATAAGACATTACGTTAAGGCCCTATGCTATCTAAGGATCCACCTGTGAGGGGATTTTTCCAGGGCCCCCAAATCTGCTGTCTTTAGGGCTGTTTTGCTATGGCGAAGCTATGCACAAAGCTGCACCCAGTGGGAAAGACAATTAAAGGGTTACCATATTTCAGCAAGCAAAAAAGAGGATGGGAGGAGCCCGCCTAGCCCGCCCTGCCCCTCCACTTCCCGCC